TACTGAAATCTGTTAACTTGTTATGTTAAGATTTCATGTAAAGATGGTAAATTGTAACTAAGAAACTATGACTTTTGATTTAAAGTGAATTTAAAAGTGATGTGTAAATATCTAAATGTTTATGTTAAAGTAGAAAATATTGGATTTGTGTGTTAAAGTGCCGTAAATTTAAACGTTTACAAGAGATAAATTTTGGCCTCCACTTAAATGAATTTGTGAAAGAATTGAATGTTTTAGAATATGTATGTTTAACGCTAGGCTCTCCAGCTAAAACTTAAAAGTAAATTTAAGCTTTCACTTAGTACGTTAGGAAAGTGTTCGCGTGTAAGCAGTCTTCTTGTGAGGTCTAGTATGTCAAATTTAACTATATTTGACGATGTGTAGGGGTAGTTTTGTTCGCGGTAACAAAACATAAGTACCCTAAGTACATTTCAGAACAATTTCTGGAGAGTACGGGAGAAACAGAATTCCTTCCAGATAATTTGGAAGGACCGAAAGCCTAAAACTCCTTGACCAAGAAGAAATTGATGTTTGTCGAGAAACAATTTGCAAAATTTTCTAGTGTTAGTCTAGCTTTAGAATTGCTGTAAAGCTGGCCCTCAGAACAGAAGTTTAAAGTGAATCTAGTTAATGCAAGAGTTACAACTGTATAGTTTAACGCTAGAAAGTTTTTAAAGTCTTAAACAAGGTCGTTTAAAGACCTTTAGCTTTCGACTATTTAAAATCTGGTAGGGAATTATGTAAGGATTATGTTAATTTTATTAATAGTTAAATTTTGACTTAAATTTCCTTTCCTATAGCTTCTTAATTTCAACTTACCACTTCCGGCCAGAACGTAGTTTTAGAATTACGTCTGAATGCTAATGAGGAAGAGCGGTATTTAACCGCGAAGTTCTACTGTCTTAGTGAGAGAGATACCAGATATTCTGGCTGCACGCGTCCCCCTTTTTAGGCTATTCTCTAGTAAGCTATTATTACGCTCGGCCGTACTTCAGGCTCTTGATAGCTTTGCAGTCAATTAGCTTTAATGGGCCAACTCTGTTAGAATTTTGATTGTTTCGGCTATACCTCTTTAGTTAAGATTAGTTTTATTCTTAAAGTATTAATGGAAGCATATTGTTTGGAATAAAACTGATTAACTGGAATGCTGAATACCTTTCTTCTTCGAAGGCCCCCATTGACAAAGAGGTTTTTGCCAACGTTTTTTTAATGTTTTAAGTGCATTCAACTGGATTACAAACTAACTCATATTTTAACTGATCATAGGAATTTTTTTAATTACTTATTTCGTTTTAATATCATGACCATTGGACTTTGTACTTACGACGATACTATAGAAGATGCAGAGCATATTTTGTTGCACTTCAGGTTATATGAGAGTGTCGGAACTATATTTAAGGTGATTTTAGTTCGTCTTTCTATTTGTTGGCCCGTCTTTGATCTTGCCAGGGGTTATGACGCTTTTGCTGTTTTGATCATCTTTATTTGTTACTTAAACTTTTATTATTATTTCTTTTATATATTATTGCATTATTATATTTTTATGTGTCTTTGTATTTCTGTTGTTTTTCTATCTGCGTATTATACACTATATTATTGTAGTGCAGTATATTATTGTAATATTAATGGACTATATTATTATAATGTATGCACTATCTATGAATACGTATGAATTATATATACGTATGAATGCACTATATTATTGTAATATTAATGCTGTATATTATTGTAATATTAATGTTTTTATTGTTGTATTATATCTCCTTTGTATTAGTACTATATTATTGTTGTCATTAATGTATTTTATTATTGTTGTATCATATCTCCTTTGTATTAGTACTATATTATTGCTGTCATTAATGTATTTTATTATTATTGTATCATATTTCCTTTGCATTAGTAGAACTTTTGCGCAGTATTTTATCATCATTATTATTATTGTTATTATTTTGATTGATTTTATTTTTTAATGGTAGTATTATCATAGTTTTATTCTACTATAATAAGTATTACTGAAACCGGATGTTTTAATATTGTTATTATAGTAGTATTTGTATTATTATGTATATATTCCTTAGTCTCTTCAGAGCTAGATATTATGCATTACTATTGTATTATATTTTCTTTGTATTAATAAATTATTTACTTACTGTATATCTTACTGTAAGCCTCGTGGCATACTTTGTGGAGCAAGAGGATTTCTGCATTTGTTCTCTGAAATAAAAATGTTTAAAAAATGATCAACTGGAAAAGATACATTATTTAAAGCTCTTTTTTATTTAAAACAAGGAACTGGACGATAGTTATGTGCTGACCTTATCAGACTCTTTATTAACATTCCGATTTATCTGGATCAGATATCTAGAATTTTTTTAACAATTATATTTTTTATTATTTTACATTAAATATTTGTTTGCTTAATCCTTAGAGACATTAGGTCATTCAGGCAAGAGAGATTGAAAAATTCGCAACGCCTTCGCCGGGAATCGAACCACGGACCTCTGGAATACGCGCCCAGCGTGCAAACCACCACACCACGAAAGCATGTCAAGAAGGTGGGAGAAATACCTTATAAATCTCTTAAATGAATATTTAGAAATGATTACAATAGTTACACTTCAGAGAGTTAAACGCAATGCAAAGCTCATCTATAAAGCAAAGCTCTCACGAAGATCTCAATACCCCGAAGTCAGCTCTGAACTAACACCTGAGAAACTGTTCCAAGTTCCGCTAGTGACCGCGAATAACATACTAAGAGCATGTTATTTTCCGGCTACTTTGATATAGTTGCTTCTATGAGCGCTTGAAGTAGAATGAATACCGTTCGATAGGTCCAGGAGAACAGCATGAGAAAGCTGAGAAACTCTTGCTCTCCCCGGTCGCATATACGCATTCTGTACCGCTCCCCGCGCATAGGGAAAAATCCGTACTCGTGATTGGACATACATTCCGATGACATCATTTTCTCTTGGCGTAATGACGTTTAAGCGAGATTCTTACGGTTTTGTTTTTGATTAATGGCGCGCATGAATGAAAAGGAAGCATGAAAATTATCGTTCATTTTCTTTGAAACGAAACAATTTAGCTGCAGCGTTCTGAAGATAGCTTCCTGTTTCATGGAATTATAAAATTACAAAATCTCTCAAAGATGCTGTTCAGAAGAAATCTTAAGCGCTTAGAGTATATAAAAAGCTGAGTTCATAAGTTCAGTGCGAAAACCAAAGTAAGACGATTTCGATCCAACTAAGGCATTTTGTGCTAGTAAGTATTTCAATTTTGTTGCATTCTGTTCCTTTCACATCGCAAAAAATATTTCACTTGTAAATGTTATGTTATTTCCGTGTTAATGTCCATGTCATTTTTAATATTCTGTAGCCTTAAAGGAAAGAATTCGCTGAATTTAATACACGTATATAAGAAAAGAAACTTCCTTCTCTGACAAACACTACTTATGTAAAGGTAGAAAAGGCGTTACACTTTAAAAAATGGGCCATATTCATAAAGTAATATTATTCAATTTAAAATACGTATTTTTATTTCTCTCTTCTAGTTCTATATTAGTCTAAATTCAAAAATAAATTTTACGTTTTCAGGCTGATTATAACTATTGTAAATTTACTGCGTACTATGTTAGCTCCCAAAGTCGTTTTTGCTAGTTCTGAAAACTGACTTGTCTCGTGCTCTCGAAAATTGTATCTGCAGAGAATGGATATATAATGAACATGAAATAACTAATTGATAATCACAACACTTTTTATATGAATACATTTATTAAATACATTTATTAAAAATTTCTGCACTTAATATTAATACACATTTACGGAGTTAGCAGAAGAAATAATACATTTCCTCCATAGAAGTGGGGGGAAAAACTACATTTTTATATTAAATTTACCATACTACAGTGTGTGCTCTTATAGCAGGTGACAGGTGACGGAGGACGGGGGCGCCTGGTGTCTAACATAGGTAAACAGGCATATACCCCGCGTCCGTGATCTTATAGCAACAAAAATACAACGCACGTAATAACCTTTTCGTTACTGCTATCAAAATTTAAGCATACGGTATGGAGGTATACCCTCGAGCCCAAGCAAAGTCGAGGCGTTGAGGAAATTATGTCATCGAAATCTATTATCCAATCAAGAGGAGGGATTTTTCCCTATGTGCGTGGCGCGGTACAGAATGCATATATGCTCCCCGTCTTATATAATTATCCACGACATCCAAGAAATCTTTAGAGCCTTCCACTTCTCGAAATTTCTGGAAGGCATATGAGGCTCGGATACAGTTACTTGATGAAAATCAATTAGAGTTATCCAATTACAGTACGAATTACAATTATACAGGGACCGGATCAAAATGTCAAAAATGATCACTACGCTTGGCGATTTCTCGCTAAATTTGACAACAAAAATTAGTCGCCAAAACCACCGCCAGTTTGGGGATATTTCGGCCAATTTAGTGCGATAGCCAACTTACCTCACTACTGAATAGACTCGCCCCTATAATCTTATTTTCCCGACAGAGCTTCATCTCTTTCAAGCATTTGATGTTACATTATACAAAAAAATACAACAATTTTGCTTACAGTTTCACTAAAATTAGTTACATGCGTACAAAATTGATAGCAATGCATTCTGAGGTGAGGCTGATATTCCTGAGCATGAACACGTAAAAATATCTGTACCGAATATCGAAATCGAGACAGATTTATAATTTTAAAATTATTGCATTACGGGGATTTTATATTTTGCCCTCACATGTAATACAAATATTTTTCCTTCAACTTTTCCTTTGAAATCTCCCAAAACGAAATCTCGTTAGAAAGCTGTTAGCGTACAATTTTTTTTAGTGAACTTAATTTAATGCATAACTCAAATTAATCTCAGAACAAATAAATGTCCAAAATGCCGTTTAAACTTTAGGATATGTTTTCTATACTTAAATAATTACATAATTGTCTTTTTCAATAATACTAGTATTATTTTGCTTTAAAATATTAATTTATGAAACAAAATCTTTGTTGCATAGGTTGTACTTTCTTGGTTTAAGAACAACGCAGCCACAAAACCACCTGGTGTAATGATGCCAATACCACAGTATCCTCTGTTTTCTTCAACTGTAACGGAGTATGGCATGTACCAAGTAAGTTACACTTTTTAACCAATTTATAATAATTTTTGCATAACATGATATAGATAAGTCAAAAATTCATTTTCTTTGAATAATGGGGCACTATAAGAATAAGTAACTGGATGTGAAACAACGTATATTACATGACTAAGTTTAAAAAATCGTTGTAAGAATTGAATGATGAAGATATAGTCGAACTCGCTTATAACGAGCGTAAAGATACCGTGATATTTGATCGTTATTGCCCGAGTGCTCGTAAAAACGGATTCGTTAAAAAATATAAAAATTCATACATACGTACTATGTTATAAATACTTTATTTATTTTTATTTCTATACAGTACAAAAAAGTTTGTTCATTTACTTTGAACTACCTTATTATCTCTTTCTTGTGTTATTATTCTTCGGAAAACTTTCTGGCCCGAAAAACTTCGTCATTTGCACCCCTGACTTCTAAAACTTTTTAAGTTTTTCTGCACACTTGAAAGCCAATGAGTATGTTGGGGGCGGCATAGCTTGTAATTCTTCACATTAGTCGTTATCATTGCCGCTCCGCTTTAATTATTTTTTTCCATCTGCTTTAGCTTGAATTTTACCTAAAATATCCTCGAGAGTAGGTATCTCGGAAGTAATAACATAGGCGTCAACAGATATATATTTTTCAAATTCTTCTCTATTTAATTTCCAAATTTTCCAAGACGTAAATTTTTTCTTCTTCCTCAATGATTTGTCCCTCTTGATCCAATCCAGCCTTTTGGAAGCAATTGGTACTACATGTTGATGTAACGTTCTCCCATGCATCGTTCATCAAACGTATCGCTTCGAGTACGTTTACATTAGCATATGAGGTGGTTCCTATTTTTCCATCTCTCATAAAGTGCTTATGAAATTTTGACTTAAAACACCTGATAATCCCTTGGTCTATAGGCTGGAATAACACTCGTAGAATTCGGTGGTAAAAATTAAATTCTGATCACTCTCCAAGGTAAAAAAGGCCGCTGTCACGTATGCGCAGATTTATGACTCATCTCTAACTCATCTGTTGTCTTCTGAAAGTAAAGGAATTCTTTTCAAAAAAGGATTATCTGAGCTGGAGAGGTGGAACTCAACAGAAATTTTATGAATCACAAAACTGGAGAGTTCTCATTCATCACACTTTTAGTCTCTACAAGTGGCCTCGCCACTTGTAGAGACATTAGGTATTTTGGAAGCAGGGAAGATGAAAAATATGCAAAGGCTTCGCCGGGAATCGAACCACAGACGTCTGGAATACGCGCCGAGAGTGCAGACCACAACACCAAGAAAGTGGGAGAAGTACCTTATAACCTGAATATAGGCACCAGGAAGCACGAATTTTGAATTTCGAATTTGTTCTATTTCATATTTTGTAAAACTTTAGCGAATTTTTGACTAAAATTGCTCAACGATTTCAAAGCGAGCAGTGACATCATAGGGCGGAATAAAACATTTTTATCTCCAGAGGGCAAGACCGCCTATCCGAAATTCTAAAGATATGCTGTTTTTTAATATTTTTAGTCCAAATGCTCTCGAAACATGCACGCGTGTATAAATGAAAAAAAGCCTCTTTGGGCGTAATATAAAATCTGAAAGCTTTCAGATTTGTTTCTTTGTTCGTTGCTACCTTTTCCTAAGTTAGCAGGCTGACATATTTCACGGTCCTTTCAGTTTTGAATTTTTACTGTGCCAGGTGTCACGGATTTGCTGTAATAATCTCTTTCATTTTCCTCTTGAATGGTATGCCTGCAATGGTTCCCGCCTTTGCTGTACTCCCCAAAACGTCTTATCCCAGAAGATTCCCCCTAGAAGTCCTCACTGAAGGAGTTAAGGTAAATGCATAAGAAGCATTCTGGTCGAATGCGGAGATCGCAATTGCTGTCAACTAAACTCGGTGACACAATCAAGAAAGAAATTATTTTCTGTTGTAAAGATGGCCATCCTGATCCTCACAGAAGTTCGAATATTAAACGCTGCGATCAGGTGTAGTAGACTAAAGGTATTCTGATGTTCATAGATCGATTCTTTTAAGAATTAAGGATGTTCCTACAAGTAATAATATTTTTTGTAGCTAAGAGATGAACTGCTGTTTGCATATATTCATTTCAAAATTGTAATTTTTTTATACGTTAACGTTTTATAAAATAGATTCCGGGAAGTTATCATTAAGTAGATTAAATTTCAGGAAATGCAGTCCAATATTTGGTTTAAATATGTAGTTAATTTTTCTATTGTTCTAGGCAAAAATTTGAATAAAAAATATTTATAACTCTGCAAGCACTTTGTGAAATTGCTCCTTCTGCGAAGACAGAATCATATGTAGCTCTTCTTACAGAATTTTGGGGAAATAGAGTGAGAAAAATAAATAGATTATCCATACAGTTTTAAAGTCCTTATTTTCATCTGCTTGGAAACGTATGTGGACAGGGAGAAAGAGAAGAGTTATATTCTATGTATATAGCCGTAATTATCATTATCTTTGTTTATTTGCTACTGTTTATTTTATAGGTTGCTTATTGCAGCAAAATACTCTAGAGTTATTTGCCTTACCTTTCCTATATTAACTCATACCTTTCCTACATCTACTTTTAACAATGTATTGTGACTAATTCTACTTATTAAGTACTTCAAGTGCAACTCTCACCCCTCAGTTGCTACTTAAAAGTTGTTATGGGAGTTGTTATCTCTGCTAGCTTAACTAAATGTTGAAATACAAAACAAATCACTAACTTTACCTCAAGGTTATTACACAGTACCAGTATTATACAGTACTAAGTTTATTACACAGTACCAGTATTATACAGTACTAAGTTTATTACACAGTTTAATCCAACACAAATTGCTAACTTTATCTCACGTTTATTATACAGTACCCGCCGTTTCTTCAAATCACTTCCGTTCCAAATATATTTAAGTTTGTTAAGCGGCTGATTTTAATACACAGCGATTTGTACATTACAAATTGTGGTATTGTTACCATTCTTCTATAAATTATACGTCGGCTTGCTCTAAAAATATTTATTAACAGATCACAGAAACAGTTACAAGAAAAATATACATCAAAACAGAACATACACCAGAATGGAACACCTAGCATTTAGAATTAATGTTCGAGTCACAGAGACATAATACTGGATAGCCAATTCTCATCGCAGATGGAGGTCGACTGGCTGTAAATTGCATCTAGTGGCCACTAGATGGCGTTCGATAAAATAGCTCGGTTACATCCAAATAGTTCTGTTGGAATACAACATACCATTTTTAAACATTTTAAGTAAAATAATAGCGAACAGCTAATTTAGTAATTAATCCTAAAATAATAATTAAAAGTTAATGTTAAAATTGAACGATATGTGCAGTTTTAAAATTCATTTTTTAATGTAAATGATTTAATACAAATAATATAAAATATATTCATAATTACGTTTTTGAGTGAAGCTTCATCTCTTACAAATAACCATTCTATCTCTAGTTAATTTCTAAAGCGCCATTTGTACATCCAAAGTATTTTAGTATCATAATTCTTGTCTTAAACACGGTTCAAAAAATCACTTCAATATGTGAATAGATCAACACACGAACTAAGGTTTTGCAAAGTTTATTTATGACATATTAGCTATTTTAAATTACTCTCAAAACGAGAGTTCAAAATTATTATTAATCGATTCTAGAAACAATTCTAAAAACCAAATGCAACAGGGAGGCCACAAAAATAAGGAAAATATCAGGCACGAACTTTGGCGCTGCCTAACCGCCAAATCGGCAGTCATAACAGTTTCAAACTGTTCAAAAGCAGTTTTTCAGTTGCATTATGAGTTTCGTAAAATTCGTGGTAGGATTTTTGATCAGAACTTTTCAGTGCAAGTGTTTCCCTTACAATATTTTCCCCCCTATATTCGATTGATGGTAGCATGTCACCATTTTTTTTCTGTATCACTTTCGCTATCAGTTTCTGTAGTTCTTTTAACACTTTCATAATCATTTTTTACACTAATTTTCTGAATATTGTTGACACAATATTGAATTTACACGTACGGTAAAATAAATCTTCATAACGTACCTGAACTGACGTTTGAAGCATTAGCTACCATTTGCAGTTCCTCTGAGGATTTTTCCTACATAAAATCTATATTTTCGAAACCACTTTTTTACTGATTTTAAGAAATTAAATCCCTGCATTGACTACAACATGCATGGTCTCTAACAGAGTTATTGGATTACTCATCTCCTTTAAAGAGTGCTTGCAATTTTACAGATTTCAGTTATGTTCACAACTTTCTAAACTTCGTTTCTGTGGTGAAATTTGAAAATTTTATAATCCTCTGGTCTAAAGGCTGAAAGTTTTTTTTTTTTTCCAGGAACAGACACTAATGTTGGTAGGCCTACGAAAATGGATACTATAGATGACATACGGGAAGCTCTATAGATATTAAATAAGATATTCTGGCACTGAAGTATCAGTCTTTCGTCCATTTGAGTTTTATACGCTGCAGATTTTCTATTGATTAGTGTGCATTTGTTTTGGCTTTTGAAAATTTGAGCGTAATAATCAGCTGCATTTATTACCCAGTGAGTTTAATAAGCGGTGGATACTGTACCTCCTCATTTGTGAGGGATAAATTAAAATACTACAAAACAAAAATTACTCTTAATAGTGAAACAAAATATCCTTTAACAGTCGTTGAATCGACAATTCTAAATACTTTTCAAGCGAGGTTGCAAGTTAGGAATCAACCACTAAAACCTAGTTCAAAATCTTAGGTTATCTATAAAGCTAAATTGTCTTGAGATTTTAATTCTTCCCAAACAATTGCTTTCACCAAAAGGCAAGGGTTGATACGAGTCAATGAAAGTTAGGATTCCCAAAGGGTTGAATACTGACTAGAGAGAATCGATGAAATTTTAAAAGGGCTCACTTATGCTTACCGACTGGGGGTCGATATCCAAACACACGAGGGCAAATGATTGGCATAATGAAGACCGATAAAAGTTATTAATATTATAAAAAAGGTACTTCATTGTTTTGATAAAAAAATGATATGATGTAGTGAGAAAAAAAATTATATAAAAAAATACAACGAAAAAACACACAAGCATTATTCAATACATTTTAAAAATCAATAACACGTTTTAAAAGTATATACATTTTTATGCGAAATGAACAATGTAAAAAAGTATATGCAGGAAAACAGAGAATCGCGACCAAAAACTACGAACAACGCAAAATTTTCTCAAAAGATATATTCTATACGCAACCGCTTGCAATTTTCAAGAGGTTTTAATGTTTGTTTTAGAGAAAATGAAAAATTTGAATACGCCAGCATGGCTAAACTATGATGCATTTGATAATGATATTATAACGATTGTATTGTAGGAGGATGGTTAAGCATATGTCTTACTCAAAAATAGGCGGATATCCTAAGTTTTGGAACTGAAAAGTCATCCGAAAGAAATATTTCAAAATAAAAGTTATTGCTGAATAATAATAATGATTTTTCGTTGTTCTTATTTATAGATGCAGGCTTTAGACAAATCAATAATTTACTATGGAAAAGAAGAAACAGGTTGAATATTTTTGAACGAGACGATTTAAGAATTACGTTGATTAAGCAATTTTATATTAAATATTTAAAAAACTTGCATCAACAAATAAAGCGCAGCCGTCATACTAATTAAAATCAAATTTATGTGCAGTTAGAATCTGTGATTTTGTTTCCGAAAGCTTGTTTATATTTGCAAAATTAAACAAAAAATAACTCCAAAAACTATTGAAATATAAATCCAATAAACCATTTTTTCTTTAAATTTTTTTCATATTCTTAGTAAAATTGTCTTCTTTAAGTTATTTAGGTTCAATTATATTTATGTTGTATGCTGCATATTACATAGAAAAATACAAGAAGGTCAATTAAGAAAACTATCCTTTTAAAAAGGGTCAATGCAAGATAAAGGTTAGGAATCTCTGATCTAAGCATTCATACGGCTACAATCTATTTTCCTAACTTTATTCTAAGGTGCTTGCCATTCATCATTACATAATTCTGCAGGAAAAACAAGATGGTGACAAAATGAGACATACAAGAAGGGTATGTAAATGGAATATAATGCCAAACTCAAATATAATGCCACACACTCACTAAGGAATAAAATGCTTTCTATTACTTAAATACTTTATGTTTTCCGTTTTCTCTCTTAGCTAAAATATACTTTATATTTTCAGCTTTCAGCTTAGCAGAACTTTATCATTTCAGTTAATTAATCAATAAGAGATAGTTAAAACATTTATTTCAATTAAAATGCCAGCACAAATTTTGATAAAAACAAATATTGTGGATAAAAGAAATTCGATCAATGATTTATATATAAAATATTCACGCATGTTTTTAAAGAATGTTCTGTTTAGAATTTATATTATTATCGGAAGATATTATTTCCTTATTTATCTGATTTCTTATTTGTTTCATCAATCAAATTAATTTCAACAATAAAACCACATCTGAACTTTGTTTACTGCAAAGTTCGTAACCTTTGTATTGAACACTGTTCGGGCATTAGGAATATAATTAGCTCTGTCTTAGAGCTTTAACTTCACACGTGCTCATAACGATTACTTCAGCTGTTCTTTCTAATGATCATTTAAAAGCGAGCGAATGCTTTAGATGTTGAGATATCTAATTATTTTCTAAACTTTGCCATTCTTGGTTGTTCTTTTTATACAAATTTTTCGGCTTAATGAGTTTTGATTAGTGTGTTTCAACCTAACCAAATTTTTTTATTAACCAGATCAATTATTATTTAAACGAAGAAAAGCAATGGGCAGTGGATATCGAAGAGTTACAAAGAGCCATCAATTTATCTAAGCCATACTGTGAACCTAAAATTTTAGTGATCATTAATCCGGGAAATCCTGTTGGTATGCATGTTTTATTATTATTTCAACTTTTAATTTGTGGGTCGTTTTTAGTCATGAAGTCATTCATTTTTAATTATGAGTCATCATTATTCATTTTTAACCATTAGTAAAATCGTTAATAGTTTGATAACATTTTTAAAGTGCATATACATCGGTGATTCTCAAAGCGAGTGATACTGCCTGTCTAAAGGCGCAACTGAAGCGCCAAGTCATTTTACGAAGCGCCATACAACAATCGATGGGCAGTAAAAACTTTACAGGTTTATACTGTAAGTCAAGATAGCATCTTAATATATTTCTGGAGATAGATTAGAAACTGCCTTCTCAAAGAAATGTAATTTTCTTAGCAATACCTTCCACTCTATGCATTTTACTCGTACTTTTCTCTGATACTGAATATATTAGCTGAAAATTGCATGATGCATTCCGATAAATTACATAATGTATAAAATAAAGGGAAATATGGTAGTTTATTATAATAATTAAAGTTTGCATTAGGAAAATATTATTAGTGCATTTAGTGGAAAAGATACTAGTAGCCTCCCGATCGGGATACCGAAACGCTCGGGTTCGAAGCCGGAGAAAAGATGGATGTTTGTAAATGTATATTGTCTTTACGGCATGGAGGGACTCTAAATATGCAGCAAGCCGAAAGTCCTTTCGAGAGTTTGGTGGTAGGGGAAGAGGAAAAGGAGACCTTCGGATATGTCTCCCCGGGGGCGTAATGGCAAACCGCACATCGCGTTGATCAATATTAAACGAATTTTGCTTACTGCGCATGCCCAGAATAGAATTTGGGGCAATTACAAATTTGGCGCAATTTTAGATGAAGATAAATACGGTATATGGTTGATATTGTGTTATCTGGGCGTATACAGTTCGGGATTTTAAAACTTGTTAGGTTGTAAGTTGCTTCATTACTTAAAGTGAAAATGTCGATTGTAAACTACGCAAATTTTCGTTTAAGAAGGATTACAAAACAGGAAACTTTATAAGATATATTAGTTTAATGATACAAGATATGCCATTCGTATATACTTTCACAAATTAAGGAATAAATCCAGTTTTAATTACTGAATAAGTCAAGTAACTGATATTAAATGTAATGTTTTTGAACAAAAAAAAAACCAAAATGAAATGAAACACAAGTACATGCAATAAGCACGCAACAAATTTGCAATCTTTTAAAACTGTAAAACCAACATGGCTAACAGGCTTGTATAGGGTAGCTTATGCCCCCCCCCTTTAGTCGCCAGTATTTCCTCCCACGCCTACGGTACACCACTGAGCATGCGCAGTAAGCGAAATTCATTAACATTGATCATCTCAATGTGCGGTTTGCCATTACGCTCCCCTGGGTGCTCTACATCTAAATTGGGGGGGGGGGCGGAACTGAGCAAAGTCGTATAATCACCTGTAAGATGCTGAAGGCTCTTGCCAACGGCAGGCGCAATCTTGCACTCCTTGCCACAATGAATTTCGTGAGCTTGTGCAGATGTTACTGTCAGAAAAATAAGATAAGTGACAACAACGAATATTAAGAAATAGTATTTCCTAATTCAAAGACACGGACACGTAATGAATAACTCTTACAAAAAAAAAAAAAAAAGCCTGAGTATAAAAATAAGTGATAAATTCTTCTCGCAGGATTTTGGATATAAATTTCAGAATCTTATACATATATATTCAAGTAAATTTATGTCGTTATACTTACAGGTTCTGTTATGTTGCAGAAGGACATGCAGAATATCATCAAATTTGCTTATGAAGAAAAGCTTCTCATTTTCGCAGATGAGGTATGTATCTTCGCTTTGCAAGACATAGAGACTGAATGCTTTATTGCGTTAAAGGCGTGCCTTTTATTAATTTTAAAATGAATATTTTAATCGCTTCCGAATTTTTCTGCAGGTATATCAATACAATGTTTATGATTCAGATTCGAAGTTCTATTCGTTCAAGAAAGTGATGAAAGAAATGGGCCTTCCATACAGTAATATGCAACTTGCATCCTTCATGTCTGCATCCAAAGGATACATGGCAGAGTAAATTCCTGTTTCTGTCTATAGATTAAATTTTAAGTGAATAAGAATTATATTTCTTTGCATTCATTTTTAACCTTTTTCGATTATTTTGAATAGATATTAAGAAGTTTAAACATTTAATATGTTAAAATGAGTGACTCATATAATCTGAATAATTTAGGGTCAACATCTCCAAAATATGTCTCTAAGTTTGCTTATAAGAAACAGATGTTAAAGAAGGGCCAAAATGAGATGCAAAAATAGTGCAGATCAGAGTAATGTATTTTAAGAAACAGAAACAGTAAAGCTATAATAAAGGTCAGCCGACATACAACTAGAAGTAAAATGACAATGAGCAGAAATATCTGTATCTCCCTAAAAATGTTTCTCTTCTGCAAATAGAAAAAAGATGTAGTTAAAAGAAACACTTATCGCATTTTCTCGTGTATTTTCTCCCCTCAGCTTTTGTCCCCTATACATTTTCAGCATCAGGTTCTGAAATTTTTAAAATATCCCCGTAATTTTCCCTTCTTAAATGCGTGCAGAGAATGAGCTCTAATAAATTTTAAAACTTATTCCTTCACGTTCTGATCCTTTTCGTCTTACCAAAAGATAAATCCTCATAAACTATCTATGAAGGTCACGCTGAACCTTTCCCTTCTAAATAAACTTTATGCCACCTTAACATAAGAACCGATCCATCACAGCAAAGCAAACAAGAACTAACATTCGATCTAAAATTTGGCTGAGTAAAAGGAAGATTTAAATTATAAAGAAGTGGGTTTATTTCTTTTAAATCGCTCAACCTTTTAATCAATACACTTATTGTTTGAAAGAGAAATCAAAGATGTTATATTACGTTAAACGGCAGTACAGTGAAAACTTAACATTTGCCAGGTTAAGAGAAATTAATTATCTTACGTGTCATGCAATGGAGACGTTCGTGTCGTGGATGATATATGGTACTGTAAAGTAATATAAAGTCCAAAAACCTGTGAAATGTCACTAATATCACTATTCAGCTGTGCGCTGCACGTAGCTTAAATGAAACATTACGTGCAACTGGTGATGACACAAATAGTGCGATTCCACTTTCAAAATAAGCTTTCGAAAGAAATTAAAATAATGGTCCACGTTATTCGACCAAGGGAATATAACGTTTTAAGTGGGAAATGGTGAATATATATTGTTGCATTCTACGGGTTCGTGGATTTGGAGTGATTGATGACAACACTTGATGACGAAACAAAAATAAAATTTATTCGTCAGTATTTCACAGGACAGTTCCAAAGACGCGTTGCAGTCGTCGGAAAACTACGACAAACTCGCTGAAACAATCAGCAACACAGCCCTCAGGATATAACGGTGAAGACAGCTTCACGGCAAAGCACTAAAGTACAGCTCCCGACTCGGTCGATCGCTCTCAAGCTGATCTCTGAGCTTAAAACACTCAAGCTCAAACTCAAAATACACTGCTACTCTGCGCATAGGCAGAGCTTATATAGCTTTTGACCTGCCTTCGAGAACATTCTGGGGCAAACGGGTAAGAATTCGTTCCAAAGTGTTCTTGCTCCGTCTATAGCATAGCTTCAGTTTTTCCGCCAAATTGACGATATCGTAACAAATCTGGCAACCCTGAATCTCCTTTCCATTCTCTGGTAAGCCTAAACTCCCTTCGAGGGAAGCTATTTTAACGCAGCTGGGCATTTCGTAACAATATGTTGTCGGAAAACAAAGAAAGATAAGTTATAATTAAATCCATAACAAGCGATTTCATTTACTTTACTAATGAATGTCAGTTTAGCTTTCTTTATTCTTTACTTTATATTCATATATCTCCTTCCACTGCAGATAATAGGGAAAAAAAAAAAACCTTTTTCGCTCTAAAATTTATAATACCGGAAAATGAATCTTTATAACACTACACACTTTCGAAACTGTTTACATATCTGTTTATGGTAGGGCTAATAGCGAAGGGGAATGTTATAGAATCAATACGCAGAAATATCACAAACCATTACGTGAAAAAGTTTATTTTAAAATTTAGGGTAGATCGCTCTTTGAACGCCTTGGGGAAAGGGAAAATTGAGACAATACTTAAAAAAATGAGCAGTCTTCATTAATTAATTTCTTACTAACTTAACTGGTTTTTAATTTCATTGTATTTATATCGGTGAGAGTATTTATTATTTGCCCAAAGAATTTATACGAAATTCCTAGCTGAGTAAACAGAATTCGTTGCATAATGTTTTGCATAAAACAATGTTGGATTTCTTAGCTCTTTTTTCAGTTTACTAAATCTCTTGGTCCATTTATTCTTCAGTACTTGAACAGAAATGGCTCTAAATCTAATTGTTATTTATACATTCATAAATTCATTGTGTTGTTTCGTCTTTTAATTAATTAAACTTTTTCTTTTTTTAGATGTGGCTCAAGAGGTGGATACTGTGAATTTGTGAATCTTGATAAGGAGATAAAAGATATATTGATGAAATTACATTGCGTAAGATTAAGCGGAAACATACATGGGCAGGTAATGGAAGGTTTTATTTTGTGAATGTTCTTGTGAGGATTTATTTATTTATTTACTCTGACTAATGGTTAATTAATTTTTAGTTAAAGCTACTTTCCTTTCACTCTCCTTTCATCCACGCTTTGAATGACAGACTGTAAAATAGATAACGCGAGTTTATTCAGGTTAAGGGGGGAAAATGCTATTTAAGCGAAGGTTTCGCGATTTGATTTTAGAGCGTGTTCTGTCTATTTGAGACCACGTTGTTACCGTGACTTAAAAGCAATTTGATTCTGTGCTTCTAGCCATTGGACTTGTCCCGCCGACTTCTACGAGCCAATAGCTTTCTGCGGGTTTACTTTATCCTGTGAGCCGTTAGTTAGTCTAAATTATATTTTAAGTTCAACATTACTTGTTTTAAGTTAAGCCAGAAGTGATGGCTTATGTAAACCCAAGTGGGGTCGACTATTAATTCTTTGTGATCAAATAAAAGGGCTATAGACACCCTTCGTCTGACTTTCTCTGCCTGCCTACTGCCTACTGTTACCTGAGGATAATTCCTCTACAGTCTTTCTAATGCTCGTGAATTATGTGTTACCAAAGCATACGAGACTCTATATCTTAATATTAATTATTCATAAAAGGTTTAAAGTATGTCTGGGATCTAAGATGCTTTTCAAATAAATTTTCTTTCAACAAAACTAAATGGAATTATCTTTATGAAGCTCAAAGGCAGTTTTGTTTAAATCATCGAAGGAAGTTATTAAGCTGTTATTGCATATAATTAACCTTGTATTCAGTGGTGGCTGATAGTAAAATTATTGGAGTTGCTACTCCAGATAATTTTTACCCTTGATTTTAAAATTGTGTAAAAAGAAAATACGTAAAAGAAAATTTATTCGGAAACTTGACAAAACAGAATTTAGAAACTTCCCGAAAGAACAAAATCACGCATTTTTACTTACTTTAACGTAAACTGTTACTGTTCAAGCTTAATTTGTTCACTTAAAAATGAAATCTATTCTTCTTGTTTTAATTTGAGCGAAAATATAAATAATTTTTTTCTTGATCTCTGGATGACAACTGAGGAAATTTTTGAAAGCGCACTTAGTCTTTCCCAATTCATAACTTTTATTCTCTTCAATGCTGAAAAGCAAAGTTCTGTCTCTGAACTGTCAAGATGATTTTTATCAGTTTCAGAATTTCGCTAAGAACATTATCTAGATTATTTTCAAGATAAATTTCGCAGCTGAATGGATTTGTAATATTCATGAATAACAGATCTACAACAGAATACATTGCTCGACATTGAAAATGAAACACCAAGAAGGAGTGGTCGGAAAGTAATGAAATTTGGAAAAAAAGACGGAGACAGCAAGCAGCAATAAGTGATCTTTATTTCAAAATGATTAGTCAGAATATAGAGCGAGAACGGCATCGGCTCAGTAGGATGTAGGACCACAGCGGACAGCGATGCACGAAGAAACACGTCTAGGCATAGAGTCAATAAGAGTGCGGATGGTGTCCTGAGGGATGGCTCTCCATTCCCTTTCAACCACTTGCCACAGTTCGTCTTCTGAACGAGACAGGGGCAGAGTCTGCAAACGGCGTCCAATCACATCCCACCCATGTTTGATTGGTGACAGGTCAGGAGAATACGGTGGCCAGGGAAGCATCCGTATACCTTGCAGAGCATGTTGGTAGATGCAAGCACTGTGTGTAGCGCCACAAACCATTATGCCACGTTTCGCGCGGTGGGGCGTTCCACAGTTCCTGCCGGATTAGATCGTCTCCACGTCGACGCCACACACGTATGCGGCGACTGTCACTGGATAAACAGAAGCGTAACTCATCTGAGAACACGACGTTCGCCATTCTGTCATCCACATCGCTCCAGTCTGGCACCATTCTAAACGTTGGCGTCTATGCTGTGGGGTCAATGGCAGTCTTCTTAACGGACGCCGTGAATGCAGGCCACGTTCAACCAATCAACGGGAAATGGTTCTGATCGACACAGGAACATCCATGGTATCGTGCACATGCTGCAGAATCGCGGTACTAGTGACTTGCGGGACCGTCACAGCTTGTCGGCAGATGTGTCGATCCACACGTGCTGACGTTACTCTCGCTGCACCTGCACTCCTCCTTCTTCCCACAATTCCTTGTTCCAACCATGTTCGCCATAGCCGATGCACCGTGCTCGCATCCATGTGGGTATCAGCTGCGATTTGACGTAAGGACCAACCCGCCCTTCTCAGTCCGATCACCATACCCCTCGTAAAATCCTCTATCTGGCTGGAAGTGCCTTCGTTGACGGCGGCTTGGCATTCTCTCCTATTACACGTATCCTCCGGGATAAAAACCAACTTTCCTTGATAATTCGTTTGGCAGAAATAAAGACACCAATATTGCTCATTCTGCCCGTTCCTTCCCTTATATCTTACTTCACGTGCGTCGGAGAGCTGGGCATTTCACATCATTCGCATAACTCAGTGACTTGCGTCTACTCTAAAATTTGCATAAATTTCTGACTACTCCTTCTTGGTGTTGCATTTTCAATGTCGAACAGAGTACTTTTAGTTCAGCTTCAAGCTTTTCATTGTCTATAATGGTATATGCTTATTCTATAGGATATTCCTTCTTCAAACTGGTGAAGCATTCTCATTGAACAATTAAGCAGCTACTGAGTGCTTAGTGGAAGAACATCTGCCCATTATATCAACACATAACAGTCACGCACTTCCTTAGCTTCTGCCATGAGTTTTTAAAGGATTCTTTACGTGCTTTGAAGTTCTTTATTCTAAAATATCAGTTTTGAAATTTGTTATACATTCATTAACTTTAAGCACTTTAATTTATTGATATTTCATTTTGTTGTAAATTATTTCAGTCTGAGGCGTAATCTGTTGAAAACGCTCTAACCAAAACTTATCATCATCCAGGTATTATAGAATTCCTGTTGCCTCTACAATGATTTCATCTGCATCTGATATTGACTGAGTTTTAGTAAGGGAGTTTTTTAAAGGTTGTAGATTTTCATGAGCTCTGTTTACGGTCCGTATGTTAAAGATAGACGTGGAATGCTTATGTCCATATGCTTCTTGAAAATGGACATACGTTGCGATGATGTTGAGAAAAGTATTGGAATAGCCAGAATGATAGAGAAAAATATTCTTGCGTTTCGTGCAATACTTACTGCATTTCACAGTATTAAATTACGTTCACGTGTATTACAGTCAATGAAATATGCACTATAAACTGCTTTTATTTTTGCTTGAACTCCTGCTTTTTTGCCTTTCCTGGCGTTTGCAAAATGAAATGTTTGAGCTGTTAGTTTGCGTTCATTTCCTTGAAAGATTATGTCTCGTTGTTCTAAAATACATTTTGATTGCCATCTGCAGTTTGATTTTCTGGAATAAAGAATCTCCCCAAACGTTCAAAATATTTCTCCATTCGATACGTACCCTAGAAAAGGACAACTTGAGTGTGTTCCGAAACATCTGTCGTGTCTTCAGCCATTACAGCTAAAAAGGAAGCTTTTCTAATTTCTCCGTATCTCCTCATGGTATGTTTGTAACAGGCTAGTATTTCATTTTGAATGGTCTTGTATCTAAGTGATTCCTCAAATCTCAATTTAATTTAGATGCAAAATTTACTAATCCTCTAGATACCGCTGGATTTACTGAATCGTCTCTTTCATGATGTCCACATAAAAGAGTTTCAAAGTTTCCACAAATAAAAATGCAGCCTACTATTTTGTTTTAAACTTTATGGATTTTTTAGTCTTTATATTATGCTCGTTGATTGAAAGGCTGTATGCCTCACTAAGTGTCTCTTTAATACATACGGATTCCTAAAAGTGACAGTGAAACTACCCTAACAACGTGCTTCTTTGATTTCTCATGCTTTTCCGTTTTTTTTTTTTTTTTTTTTTTTCCCTTTATTTTTTATATTTAGGAAACTATCTTTTTTTCATGTTAAATCACCTCTATACAGCAAATACGGGAAGCAGATAAGTACATCTTTTACTTCACAGCGCAAAGCCAACAATTCCGTTAGTACCATTCAGAATTTCAAGCTACGAATACATTTATAGCTGTTACTTATGCCTAACTGAGATATTGGGACATCAGGTGTTGAATGACCTCTTTCGTAGCTGCAACATTCTCATGCAGAGACAGCTGTGAAAACGTAAGCTGTTGAAGTTCACTTATTACCGTCACCGAAACTATTTCTTACGGATGCAAGTCACGGTGAAAGTTTTTTGTAAAATAAAGGAATGAAAAAAAAATGAAATCAGATAGAACAGCTGGAAGCAGGATAATAATATAATTCTACAGATTATCACATTCAATTAAAACAGTTATTAAGCATAACACACGTTGAGCTCTTAAAGAGAGGGGGAAAAAAGGAACTTCCACCAGCACACGGGTCGGCAATGTAGGAGCGAAAGGTTTCAGTTTTTTCATCAAGTGGTGGTATTCGCGAAAAAATTGTTTCAAGTCTAAATTTTAAAAAATCTAATTCAAATTTTGAAAACCACTTTTTGTCACAGTGAGTGTGTATGCAAAGTTCGAACTCAATAATTTATCTGGGATTAGTTTAAAAGTGGATGGCGACCCATGGTGACAAATACAATAAGCGAGGTGAATGAAAGCTTATAAAACGCGGCTGAAAACTTCTAGGAAGCTGCCTAATTATTATATTTTAACCGTTCTTGCTTTAAAAGCACGCTAAGAGTTTCTTTCAAAAGCACGTTGAAAAATTTCAAACTTTTATAACAGAAACTTTTTGGGTGATACTGTTTTAAAGTCCTGTGAAAGAAACTTATACTTTATCCACAATAAAATAAGAAACCTAACTCATAAAATGAAATGCCCCCCCCCAAACAAACAGAAAAAAAAAGCATATAAAATTACGAAGTGGAAAAATTTTTAAATTATGCAGTAATATCGTATTCAAACAACGTTGACGAAGTAAACAACATCAAACAACATTTCCTAGCAATGCCGAAAGGAGTAATATTCTGCCTTCTGTTTTATATTTAGCATAATTTTTTAAATAATAAAAAAAATGTAGAAAATTGCCCAATTATTTTTTATTATCATTATTCTTATTTTAAAAGAGAGTGAAGAGTTTGTTTTTTAATCTGTGAAAAATTCAAAATTTTATAACTGATACATTTTTCGATACTAAAAAAAATCAAATAATTTTAAAAAATCGAGATTTTTGAAAATTTACCAAAAAATCAGAAATGACATTAAAACTTTATAAATTTCATTTTAAAAATTTTTTTCTTTCTATCCTATGGTGCAAATACTAAATTTCTATGATTTTTAATTTGATATGTGCGAAAAATCACTTAAACATTGAATAAAAAAAATTAAATCGAATTTTCAAAATTTGCTTCGCCATCCTGCATTGTCATCCTCAAACACTGCGCACAGAAAATTTGAATACAATAGCATATCAGGATGTAAAGTAGTAGGTTAAAAATCGTTGAGAAGCTTTGACTAGAGCGACAAGCACCATAAGTGAACTAAATAAAAAGCTTATAAAAATAAGAATTATTGGTAACATATATCTTTCTATAGTTTGAAGAGGCAATATTTTACTTCTTCGATACCTAATACTGCCATCACATAATGTGATCAAATGTATTGAAATATGTTTGGCTCACGTGGTGCGTAAGATGCATGAATCCTAACCATAACTTGCTCTTAAAGGCACAAAAATAGCTCAAAATTCTTTGTGCAATCTTCATTCTAGAGCATTTCAATGTGTTATATTTGATTAAAGAAATATTATTACTTTCGTTTATGCTCAAATATATTATAAAAGATACGATACTTCTAATTTTTAGATAATTATGTATTGCATATCGAATCCACCCGGACCAGATGAGCCCTCCTATGAGCTGTTTGAACAGGTAAGTTCCCACATTAATTTGTAAGTAAATTAGATTGCAAAAATAGTATGTTTACTAAAAGTACGTTTGAGTAATTGTATATTCATCTGTGATAATATAGAGTAGGAAACGGAGATTAAGAGAATAGACTTGCATATAATTTTTAATTTTCGAATATTCTAAACATTAGGGAAAGCAGAACAAAAATGTTGTTGCTACTAATTTCCTTGCCTAGACGTACAGTCACCAAACACCCTTCTAAATTCTCATCGGGAGGGAGGCGATAGACAGCCGGTTCGTTAGCCAGTTTTAAGGCACCTAATTGGATGTATTTACGACCTAGTCCGACAGCAACCCAGTTTTGATCGAAATACCTCCCGGTTTCGGAATCCCCAGTGTCTCGTATTTCCTCTTCTCCTATTAACAACCTCTTTAATTTTGGAATTTTCGTCTCCACGAGATGCAATTGCTCCTAGGGAACAAAAACTTTTTACATTTACGAATACCCATGTCTTTTGCGAGACTCCACTCCGGACCCGATTAGATACCGGCTCCGGTGACCACCAGGCAGGGGCGTAGCTAGGGTTTTCAGCGCCCAGGGCAACTGAAGATTTTGCGCCCCTCTCTGTGTGCCACGAATGGAAAACACTTCATTCTAAAATTTCGTACTATCAATTTGGCGCCCCCTGGATGCTGCGCCCGGGGACGGATGTCCCCCTTTGCCCCACCCTAGCTACGCCACTGCCACCAGGGAAACGGAATCAAGGCAAACTAGTAAAACGGAGCAAAAGTGCAAGCAAAGTAATGTTGAGGAGATAAATCGCATGAAAACGGAAAATTTCTTATGCTTCATATCAAGATCAAATAATATCAGCTTCTAGATTTCATTTTTATTCCATTTTTTGAAAGAACAACTCTACGTTTTTACGGTTAAGTTCAATATTTACAAAGTAATCAGTTAATTTATCAAATCATTTAAATAATAATTTAACAGCATTTCTAGAAAATGTGGGAAATTAAGTGTATGATATTTAGAGATCATCTCATTGGCAAAAGAAAAGGAAAAAGTTAATAAACCAGAAACTGTGCCAATTTTCATTACTACACTGGTTTCCAGAAGTTAAGCACGCAGTGCAAATTATCAGTTTTCGAAAACGTAGTAAAGTTTGACTGGCTGAAAAATCGCTGCGGATCCAAATGGCAGTGTACAAATATTGTACATTATTAGCCACTGACAATTGATTGCCTAACATATGCTATTTAGGCAGTCATTGAAGACAGCAGCATTCTGAATGGTTTGACGAGGTTCATTTAAATGCTGATACGAATTGTTTATAACAGTTTTACGATAGCTTTAGCTAAAAATGTTATAAACACTAACTGTTTTTTGACTGAAAGAAGGCAACAGGCTAGATAGTGTGCGTTGGCGCGCCGTCGGACGCATTGAAGTAAGACAGTCAACCAAAGATGCCTCTTGTTTATTTTGCTTTTATCCTTCAGTAATTTCTCAAATGTGGAAAAATTTGAGACACTTTAAACAGTTGTCAGAAGATCTTTGCCCGGTTGACCCAGAGTTACCATCATTTTTGAAGATCGATATGGTATTATAGCAGACAAGAGGAATCCACGAATGACTTCTACAACAGTTTCACATGATAAGACGATATTTGCGAGTTCTTGAAGGCTGAAGGCTTCACATAGAAGTGGCTATAGATCCAAGTATCAAGTGTTGTTCCATTAACCACCCTAAATCGGCTTGTCAAGATTAAATTGTATCGCCAGCATTTCAGTTGGACTGTCTAATATTTCTGCAACGCTTTGTTCACTGACAAGAACGAATTTGCCCTTAAACTCGGTGATAAGCATGTAAGAGTCTGGAAAAGACTAGGATCAAATTTTTTTCGGGAAGTACAATTAGACTTTTACCTTCGAATGATATCTACCGGAACTGATTTGCGGAAACGCAAAACGAATTGTGCGTAAAAGTTGTTTGCTGTAATAGCATCATAAAAACATATTTTATCATAATGTGTAGTTTCAGGGTTGTATAACATAACAAGTTGACGGGAATTCAAAGATCTGCTAGCCGATCACTATTACCTATGAAGGATATTCTTAAGACGAATTCGCAGTCTTTCTTATTAATATTGTATTTTCTATGATTTATTCATAATAAGTATTTACTTTACTGAGTTAATAGAGCAGAGTATTTGCTATTTATACATATCAAGTAAGTACAAATGCTTTAGTAATCTCATTTTTACGATATTTTAGTTACTGAGTCTTTTTCTGAACACTTTTAAAATGGAGTTACACAACATATGCCCTAAGCCTCAGTTTAAAAAGCATATCTCCCACTTTCCTAGCGTGCCTTCGTGGTATAGTGGTTCTGCACGGTGATCCGGTATTCCAGAGGTCCGTAGTTCGATTCCCGGCGAAGGCGATTGCTCATTTTTCATCTTGCCTGCTTCCAAAAATACCTAATGTCTCCACAGTGGCGGACGAACTAAAAGGGTTGTGGATGATGATTCTTCACACCCAGGATTTGGCGACTAGGGCCACTAAAACCTTACTCGCCCTTTAAAAAGGGGAGTATATAAGGTACATCTTCCACTTTCCTGGCGTGCCTTCGTGGTGTAGTGGTTCTGCACGCTGAGCCGGTATTCCAGAGGTCCGTGGTTCGATTCCCGGCGAAGGCGATTGCTCATTTTTCATCTCGTCTGCCTCCAAATGATCCTAATGACTCTACAAGTTTCTACTGCTTAATGTGCACTACGAATCTAAAAGTTCGCAAGGAAATTTACCCATACTTGAATATTCATTGGTGTCCAATCAATTTTGTTTAAGGAAATTTAAATGACGAAAAATGAAGGCATATAAATGAAGAACAATTTTTAATAAACAACTAATGCAAATTCTACACTAAAAGCGCACTAAAGATTGATTTGGAAGAAACTAAATTTTTCTTAATAAAAATGAGCGTGTCAATTTCTGTATTAAAAAAAACCGCACGGGGACAAACTGTGAAAAATATTTTTTTTTTAAATAAAGAATGCATAAAAGTGGATGAATGATAATATAAACAAAATAAATATGGAATACATATATTGAAGATCGAATTATAATTTTCTAACAAAAAAAAAGCATGAAAATATTGGTGAATGATAAAAAGCATTGAAAAAAGGGCGCCTCAAAAACGAGATGCTCTTCAATAAAAATAAAAATAAAAATTAGATTCTTGAAAAAATTTTAGATCGCTTCTTTAAAACATTTTCTTGAATGCAACATTTAGAACTTCTCCAATAAGTCCGTTTTCAGTATAATGTCCTTGTCTTTATTTTATCAATATGTTTAAGGATGAAAGTTTTCGAAAGCGTTTGATATCTGGAAGTCTCTTTCCAATCTGTAACACCTTTCTAGTGCTTTCTGATAATTTGTTTTAATCAGGAAATAATATCATATTTAATTTTCTAGAGCTCTCTGTAATGAGACTGTAGGATTCTCCACTGTGTAATTCTAAGTTACCGTCGGAAGTGAAGAATCTTAAAAACTGATAAGCGAATAACCGCTTGAGTTTGTGTGACAGGAAACAAGATAGAAGGGTAAAATAACCCTTTATTATTCCAATAAAGTGTAACAGAACTCCGTCTTGGAGTTGTAGAATAAATCCGACACTTAACTTGAACTTAAGAAACTAAGAATTAAACTAAACTAATCTTAACTAAAGAAATATAGCCGAAGCTATCAAGATTCTAACAGAGTTGGCCCCTTAACGCTAATTGACTGCAAAGCTATCAAGAGCCTAAAGTACGGCCGAGCGTAATAATAGCTTACGAGAGAGTAGCCTAAAAAGACTGACGCGTGCAGCCAAAATATCTGGTATCTCTCTCACTAAGACAGAAGAACTCTCACTAAGACAGAAGAACTTCGCAGTTAAATACCGCTTTTCCTCATTAGCCTTCAGACGTGATTCTGAAAATACGCTCTTTGCGGAAGTGGTAAGTTGAAATTAAAAATCGATAATGGAAGGAAGGATCGATAAAGGATTGAGGAAAGGAAGTTTAACTCAAAATTTAATTGTTAATAAAATTTTAAAAATCCTTACAAGACTATTGAAATTCTGAGATTTTTCCAGTCCAGTTTAGAAGCATTTTCTTTCATAAACTTTTTAGATAACATCAGATATCTAGAAATAGCATCCATATGAATTAAGTGTTCATTCTTGATGAGAAATCTTCCTGATAGTCTTTGACTACACAACTACTATGCCAACCTACTCTGTATTTATATTTTAAGATAAAAGGCGTTAATTATACCTGGTATTTTGAAAGAATTATCCAATCTATAGCATTTTCAAAATTTCTAATCAAATTTTCAGATAATTTATCTGTTGTCGAAACTTCTATCCAATTGAAATCCATTTATAAGTTGCAATTTTAAAGAAGAGGCTCTTTTCAATACGTAATAATTAAATTAATTTTATTAATTTTTCCTTTAAAATTAAATACATAATCCCCACTTTTAAAGATAATAACTTCTTTTTCATCTACTGCTAAGTTATCTAATTTTAAATCTCCATACTTTGAGAGCACATGTTTCAAAGGCATCAGTTTATATTTTCCTGGATTTAAGTCACTCAGTTTAAGAGTTTCAGATTAAGATCCCAAGGATGGAAGAGTTGTTAATTTCTTTCATTATTTATTAATGGTATTTTTAGAATGGCCTAATAATCTTGAGTGAATTCCATTTTCTAAAATAAAGCTGTTATCACCTGTATTTGAAAATGGTTTTTTATTCAATTTAAACGAATGTAAGTCTTGTTTTATACTTATAATTAAATTCATGATTAAATAATACTAATTTTTTAAATAAGCAATATTATTACATCCAGTTTTAAGTATAAATCTGCATATTTTTATTTTCAAAGTCGTTCCGTATTTTTTCGGCTCGCTTACATTCTTCATTGGAACATTTACTTTTTATCCCAAACGGGCAATTTGTCCAGAAGGGCCGCTAATTTC